TGACTCGGGCCTGACTTGGGATTTGGTATTCCCAAAGACCACCCTCAGTGTCACCCTTTCTGCAACAAGTCGACATTTCAGAATCTTCCTACTCCCATCAAAGTGTTCCACTCCCTGATAATTAATTATTCAAATATATGAGCATATGCGGGGCATTCTTATTTAAAAGCCACACACAACATATCTCATGAAATGACAAATATTGTATTCCAATTAAAAATAGTAATTAAATATCCACAATAATTAAATTAATACTTTAGTTATATAAAGCAATATTTTGGTATATTTTACTTATAATCATTAAGATGCCAAATGCTGGAGCACTATGAGAAACCATGCTTGTTTCATACATGTAAAGCATCACACTGCTAAAAGAGAATCATTTCCTGAAGCTGATGTACCTTGAAACATATATTAATAACCATAAGATGGGCAAAGAACACATGTGGTTATTGTATCAGAAATCAGACATAAGAACATACTTTTGTAAATGTTAAACTAGTATTTCTACATTTAACAAATTACTAAGAATGTTAATAATTATTTTATGTACCTTCAATATTTTAGGGGATTTGGATATTTGTTACTTTTATAATTTTTTGCATGTCAACCTCATTCTATAAAGCATAAATAGAAATAGAATAAGCAATCATTATCACAACATAATATATCCTGATACCCTGAGAAAGCCTTTAAGCATTCCATTGCTCTATCAGTGCTGCTGTCATATTATTTTTTGTAGAATGACAACAGAGGAAAAATGGAAATAACAAAAATCTGACAGATAATGAATATGTTGCTTTACATAACACAGATGTCATTCAGCTACAACAAATGGTCTGGTACCTATATGAACATTTGCTGTGTGTTCAATCACAAATAATTAAAATAACAATTCCTTAAATAAATGTGCATTTTTTTAATTTCCAGAAAATAACCTCCCAGAAAAACTTTCTTAAACAGCATGAACACGGCTACTTATGTACATACTGTTGCGTGGGTTTGAATAATCTTCATTGCATGATAATTACAGGTTATAGCTAATTAAGGTTTTATAGTAAGAATTATTTTCTTCTAGAAATATTTGTTGCCTCCAGTCTTTTAAGGTTTTGTGATTTAGAATCTTTTGGTAGAATTGCTATTCATCAAGAAAATAAAGAATTGACTTGTATTTATTGATTCATGAATTTATTGAGTAGATAAAAATGGTTGTGCAAATGTAACTGTTATGAATAAATTAAAAGTAAATTTCTTTGAATAATAAGTAATAAAGTATAAATTGCCTAAAATTAACAGTAAATTGGTACATTTTTCTAGAAGAGTCAAGACAATTCATTCTTTTGTTGTATTTTAGAAGCACTTTCTCAGGAACCCCAGCTCCTTCTATGTTGAACATGTGGCAAATATTAAGTATAGTTAAGATCCACTAATCATTTTAGTGTTTCTGTGTTGAACAGCCAAGGTAATAATGATAATATGGAAGAAAAATAACATGTATTTTAAAATGTCTTCAGACTGAATTAATGTCGGCACACATGACTGCATTCTTTTCTTGCAGAAGAATAGAGTTATTTCTTATCAGCCATGAGAGATGGGTCACAGGACCCTGTATCTACATCTGCAGGGAACATAAAAACATCATGTCTTTCCATTTCCCTCCCTTTTCTTTCTCTGTCATCTGTCTATCATCTTTACATCTGTCCATCTATAATCTATCTAACCATATTCCTGTATACCTATCTCTCTACAAATCTTCTGTGATGTGTCTTTCAATGTATATCTACATCTATTTATCTCTCTATCATCTATCTATCCTAATCTATCACATATATCATATATATAATATATATATCATCTATCTTTCTATCTCACATATATATAAATAAAAATGAGAGAAATCTATAAAAAACAATTAAATGAAATAAAATTTACCCATTGCTAGAATTTTCCCAGAACACAATTAATTATTCATTCATATTCATATGTTCATGTGTTAGGATATGCCAGGCAATATAATAAATATAAGTGATAGTTATGAACATTCAGGGGCTACTAGGAGGTGGGGCTACAGTGTCTCCCTACACTTATCTGAAAAGTTCATTGAAGCTCTAAATTTTACGATCATCTAAACGTGATAACAAAAATTTATTCTTTTTAAATTTAATTAATTTTTGCATAAAATGAATTAATCATAACTGACACTCCTCAAATTTTGCAATATAACTTTGTATTAGCTTAAACTACTGAATTTTTATCATTGCAAAATGCCATAAAATTTTAAATAACTCACAGTATATGTCATAGGAAAATAAAGTATGAAATGAGATGCAAATTCTATTTGAAACAACTTTAAAGTTATGTGTGAGGTTATCAAAAATTAATGCAAGAGAAATAAAGTTGTACCTTCATTTGTCTAGTGGAGGAATAACATTTGGATAAATAATTACGTGTGTACTCATAATCACTCATTCTGCCTAAATGAAGTTACTAGATTACAAGGTCATCTCCTGCAGTTGCTCAGTTTGTGCTTGATACATAAACACCCTGCTGTGGGTCAAGTCCAAAATAGATTAGGTTTCCTTGGACACATCTTCCTCTGCCAGGGAGACACTTTGCCTGTAACAAAAATGTCATATGCATAATAATTTGTTCTGGGTAGATTATCACACAAACAATAAAACATAGACAACCTGGCCAATTTAAAGTTAGCACTCGTTTCTGGTGTGCATAGGCCTTGCCTTGTCTATTATGCCTGGCCAAATAGGCTCATAATTCTCTTTATATTAAATACAAGAGTTTTGAAAAGATTTTTAGCTCTTGAAAAAATCATTTTAAGTGTTACTTTATGTAAGAAATACTATGTATGTGTATAGGATCAGGAGCTACAGATGTAAGCATAACCAACAGAATACAAGAGATTGAAGAGAGAATCTCATGAGTTGAACACAATCTGTGAGAAATAGAATCATCAACCAAAGAAAATCTTAAATCCAACAAATCCTTAACACAAAATATCCAGAAAATATGGAATACTGTGAAAAGACCAAACCTAAGAATTTTAGGTATAGAAGAAGGTGAAGAAATCCAACTCAAAGGCACAGAAAACATATTCAACAAAATCATAGAAGAAAACTTTCCCAACTTAAAGAAAGACATGCCAATGAAAATACAAGAACACCAAATATACTGAACCAAAAAAACAAGTCTCCTTGCCACATAATAATCAAAACACCAAATGTACAGAATGAAGAGAAAATATTAAGATCAGCAAAAGAAAAATGTCAAGTAACTTATAAAGGCAAACCTATCAGAATTACACCTGACATTTCCATGGAAATTCTGAAAGCCAGAAGGTGGATAGATATTCTACCTACATTAACAACCATGGATGCCAGCCCAGACTACTATACCCAGCAAATCTTTTAATCCATATAGATGGAGAAAACAAGATATTCCATGACAAACCAGATTCAATTCATATTCACCAATCCAGCCCTACAGATGGTTGTGAAAGGTAAACTGCACCCAAGGAAGTTAACTACAACCAGATAAATATAAGCAATAGATAATCCCACTTTACCAAAAATCAAAAGGAAAAAGGGATAGAATCCCATACATAATTTCTCCACCATCACCAAATCAAAATCAAACAAGAGTGAACAATCAATGGTCATTAATATCCATCAACATTAATGGACTTAACTCACTTATAAAAAGACACAGCTTAGCAGAATGGATAAGAAGACAGCCATCCTTCTGCTGCATATAAGAAACACACCTCAACTTCAAAGACAGATGGTACCTAAGAATTAAAGATTGGGGAAAATTTTTCTGATTAAATGGAACCAAGAAACAAGCGGGGTTAGCAATCCTAATATCCAACAAATGGACTTTAAACTAAAATCAATCCAAAGAGATGAAGGAGGTCACTTCCTACTCATCACAGGAGAAATCCATCAGGATGAAGTCTCAATTCTGAACATTTATGCCCCAAATACAAAGACATCCACGTTTGTAAAGGAAATATTACTAAAACTCAAATCACACATAAAACCACACACACTTATATTGGGAGACATCAACACCCCACTGTAGCGAGACACTGTAGCCCAGCCTCCTAGTAAGCCCTGACAGCTGTGCCAGGACACACCCATGAGGGCGTGGTCAGGGGAAGTCTAAGACAATGTGGGAATGATTCTTAAGGGAATGCACACACGTGGATAGACTTCTTAATGGCCTGGCTGCCTTGTTGCCCCTGGCACGCTCTGTCTTGCATTTGGGCTTGCATTTCTTTATCTGAATAAAGAAATCTTAGCCTTACAGACTATGGATCATCTTTGAGTGCACGCAGTACCCAAAAATCTATATTCGGGTAGGGGTTTTGCATTTGTTTTCGCAGGAGAAGAAAAACTTTGATGGATACCATCAAAATAGATCAAGATTAGTGTTGAAAAAGACAACCATCCCTACAAGGATGACTGACTGGTATTTACTGAGGTGTATCTGATGAACTAAATGAAAGCCTCCCAAAGGAATGGAATTGCTTTGTTTTTATCTCCAAAGAAAAACTCACCTCCAGAAGTCAAAGGACACTACATGGGTAGATACTTAAAGGAAAGAAGGTAGCTGTAACCATCAAACAAAAGGAACATGCCATACAGTAAACTTTACGGCTTTCTCTCAAATAACTCTATTTCTCTTCATTTCCTAGTCCCTATTCAATTAAATCAACGCTGGATGTAGAGTTGGATTTGGCTTTCCTCCCCTAAATCCAAGCATGTTATTTAACTAAATTTTAAAGTTTCTGTGTTATATCAAGAAAGCAATTGATGCACTACAAAATAAATGAAAAATTTGAGGAGTATCTTTTGTCTTTTCTTGGCTCTTTCAAGCCCTACAGCCACACATAATTGTCATTTTTCAATGGTTGCCTTTCCCAGTACATATACATGTGCAAGCAAACATTTCTCTGCTGACACTTATGTTTGATTCCCATACAGCCAACGAAGACCCATCTGACAACAATCCCTGGATGCTCCCAAAAGTGAATTGGGCCATACCTCTTGACCTGCCCTGGATCCAACTTACTCTGCTTCAACTGACACTCTGACCAGAGCCTCGAGTACTGACTTCAATCAAGTTGAGGATTTCAACCTAGATCTTCAATCAATCAAATCCAATCTAACATGGACTGGAGATAACCCATTAGAGACTTTGCCTGTGATAGCCTTTTTTTTCCCCCACAGGACCCCCAAGGCTACCATCATCCCATTTCAGCAGGAAGTAACTTAGAAAATGCTATGCCCCCACTCCCCATTATTTTTTATTAGGGTAATGTAAGCCTAGTTAGGAATAACTTTCTTATTGTTTAGAGTTGGGATTGGAAGGAGGTGTTCAAGTTAGACACCCTTTCCACATGACTTTAGGGCTTAGCCAGAATACACATAGTTAGGATGTGCAATAGCAAATTATTATATCTACTAGTATTTTACCTTTATGATTGTTATTTTTGGATGTTTTTACACTATTAAGTTTTAATCCTCTTTTAGACTAAAAGGGGAATTGTAGGGAAAAACTGTAGCCCCACCTCCTAATAGCCCCATCAGGTGTGCCTGTACACGCCCATGAGGGTGTGGTCAGGGGAGGTTTAACATGACTAGGGAACGATTCTTAAGGGACCTCGCACAAGTTGATAGGCTTCTCTCTGGCCTGGCTGCCTTGCTGCTCCTGGCAAACTCTGGCTTCCATTTGGGCTGGTGTTTATCTGAATAAAGAAGTGTTAGATTTACGGACTAGGGGTCATCTTTGAGCACACGCAGCACACAATAATCTACACCCCACTCTCACCACTGGACAGGAACATCAGACAGAAACTTAACAAAGAAACAAAGGAACTAATCAAAGTTATGGCCCAATTGGAGTTAACAGATATCTATAGAACATTCCATCCAAATACAAAACAATTTAAGTTCTTCTCAGTACCTCATAGAACCTTCTCTAAAATCAACCACTTACTTGGCAACATAGCAAACCTCAACAGGTACAAAAAATTGAAATAACCCCTTGTGTCTTATCAGACCACCATGCTTTAAAGTTAGAATTCAACAACAGGAATTACAGAAAACCTATAAACTCATGGAAATTAAGTAATACCCAATTGCACAATTTCATGAGGTCGAGGAAGAAATAAAAAAGAAATTAAAGATTTCCTAGAATTCAATGAGAATACAGACACAACATACCCAAAACTATGGGACACTTTGAAAGCAGTGCTAAGAGGAAAGTTCATAGCACTAAGTGCCCTCTTGAAGAAAAAGGAGAATAATCACACTAGAGAATTAACAGCACAACCGAAAGCTTTAGAAAACAAAGAATCCAATACATGCCAGAGGAGCAGATGCCAGGAAATAATCAAATTGAGAGTTGAAATCAATAAAATGGAAACTATAAGAAAAATAAGAAGAATCAATATGACGAATAATTGGTTCTTTGAAAAAATCAACAAGATACACAAACCGTTATCCAATCTTACCAAACAGCAGAAAGTGAACATGAAAGTTAATAAAATCAGGAAAGAAAAGGCAGACATAACAACAGACACAAACGAAATCCAGAGAATAATCAGGTCATAGTTCAAAAAGCTATATTCCTCAAAATTTGAAAATCTAAGGGAAATGGACAATTTTCTGGACAGATTTCACTTAACAAAATTGAATCAATATCAGATAAGCAACTTAAACATACATATATCCCCTAAGAAAATAGAAGCAGTCATCAAATACTCCCAACCAAAAAAAAAAAATAAAAATAAAGCCCAGGGCCAGATGGCTTCAGTGCAGAATTGTACCAGAAAATAAAGGTACAGCTAATACCAATTCTCATCAAAGTATACCGCACAATAAAAGCAGAAGGGTCATTGCCAAACTCTTTTTATTAGGCTTTAATAAACTTGATATGCAAGCTACACAACGACACAAATAAGAAAGAGAACTACAGACCAATATCCCTTATGAATGTTAATGCAAAAAATCTCAAAAAAAATACTGGCAATTAGAATCCAAGAACATATCAGACAACTAATCTACAATGATCAAGTAGGCTTCATCCCAGGGATGCAAGGATGGTTCAACATATGAAAATCCACCAATGTAATCTACCATATAAACAGACTGAGGAAAAAACCACATGGCCATCTCACTAGATGTCAGAAAAAAAAAAAAAAAAGCCTTTCACAAAAATCCAACACCCCTTTATGATAAAGGTCATGGAGAGATCAGAGATAACAGGAACATACCTCAACATAATAAAAGCAATATACAGCAAGCCGACAGCGAAAATCAAATTAAAGGAAAAGAAACTCAATGCCACTCCTCTAAAATCGGGGAAAAGACAAAGCTGTCAACTCTCTCCATACCTCTTCAATATTGTCCTTGAAGTTCTAGCTAGAGCAATAAGACAACAAAAGGAGATCAAGGGAATACAAATCAGAAAGGAAGAAGTCAAACTCTTACTATTTGCAGAATAAGTAACCCCCAAAAACTCTACCAGAGAACTCCTACAGCTGATAAACACCTTCAGCAAAGTGGCAGGATACAAGATTAACTCAAAAAAATCTGTAGCCCTTCTATATACCAATGAAACATTGATGGAGAAAGAAATCAGAGAAACATCACCCTTTACAATTACCACAAACAACATAAAATACCTTGGAGTAAAACTAACCAAAAAACTTAAACACCTGTACCATAAGAATTTTGAATCACTAAAGAAAGAAATTAAAGAAGATACCAGAAAATGGGAAAGATCTCCCATGCTCTTGGTTAGGTAGGATCAACGTAGCAAAATTGGCAATGTTGCCCAAAGCAATCTACAGATTCAATGCAATCCCCATCAAAATCCCAAAACAATTCTTCACAGGACTTGAAAGAACAATTCACAACTTTATATGGAGAAAGAAAAGACCCAGGATAGCCAAAACAACCCTGTACAATAAAGGAACATCTCTTGACATCACCATGCCTGACTTCAAGCTCTATTACAGAGCTATAGTTCTTAAAACAGCTTGGTATTGGCACAAAAATAGACAGGTAGACCAATGGAATAGAATTGAAAACCCTGATATTAACTCCTATGACTACCTGATTTTTGACAATCCAAATTTATATGCCAGAACAAAGAACATCTTCAACAAATGGTGCTGGCCTAACTGGATGCAGACATGTAGAAGCTACAGCTAGACCCAAGCCTATCACCATCCACAAAAATTAAGTCAAAATTGATCAAAGACCTCAACATATACCCAGCCACACTAATCCTATTGGAAGACAAAGTGGGAAATAGCCTTGAATTAATTAGTACAGGAGACTGCTTCCTGAACTTTACATCAGTAGCACGGGCACTGAGGTCAACAATTGATAAATTCGACCTCCTGAAACTGACCTCCAAAATATACAAAGAACTTAAGAAGCTAGTCTCCAAAACACCAAACAATCAAATTTAAAAGTGGGGTACAGAACTAAATAGAGAATTCTCAAAGAGGAATCTAAAATGGCTGAAAGATACATAAGAAAGTGTTCAACATCCTTAGCCATCAGGGAAATGCAAATCAAAGCAACTCTGAGATACCATCTTACTCCTGTCAGAATGGCCAAAATCAAAAACACCAATGATAATTTATGCTGGAGAGGATGTGGAGAAAGGGGAACACTTCTCCACTGCTGGTGGGAGTGCCAACTTGTACAGCCACTTTGGAAATCAGTATGTCTACTCCTCAAGAAAATGGGAATCAGTCTACCACAAGATCCAGCAATTCTACTGTTATGCATATACCCAAAAGAAGCACATTCATACAACAAGGACATCTGTTCAACAATGTTCATAGCAGCACTATTTGTAATAGCCAGAACCTGGAAGATACCTAGATGCCCCTCAACTGAAGAATGGATATAGAAAACGTGGTACATTAACACAATGGACTACTACACAGTGGAGGAAAAAAAAAAAACAATGGAATCTTGAAATTCAAAATTAAATGGATGGAACTAGATGAAACCATGCTGAACGAGATAACCCAGTCACAAAAAGACCAAAATGCTGTATACTCACTCATATTTGGATTTTAGACATAGAGTATCACATTACCAGCCTACAATCCACACTGCCAGAGAAGCTAGTAAACAAGGAGGGCCCTAAAAGAGACAAACATTGTTCCCTGGAGAAGGGGAAAGTTTCAAGTTCTCCTGAGCAAATTGAGAGCATGGGAGGCAGTGACAGTGAGCCAGGAGAATGTGAAGGGAAGAAGAGGAATGATGCAGAGTTCATGAGGGAACAGAAAGTTTGAGTCAGGGAAAGAATAGCAGAAAGGATATATGATACCTAGTGATTTCGTTGGGGGGGGTGTTACGTTGAGGATGGGAAGGAGAAGGGAACTGGGATTATCATGTAAAACTATCTTGTTTCTAATTCAAATAAAAAAATCTGAAAAGAAAACAAAAAGACTAAAAAAAAACAAACAAATAAAAAGGGTTCCTGTAGTCCTATACACAAACACACACTCTGCCTTTCACATATTCACTAAATGATAAAAATGCTAATAAGTTCATTTAGTGTTGTCCAAGTACACCTGGACATAGGACCTGCTCTGAACATTTTTTGACATAATGACACATCACTAAAGAAAATTGTGGTTTCCTTTCCCTGTAGGTATCAATTATAAGCAGTTTCTTTGTTATGGTTGGAACTTTGTATTCAATTCCCATTCCCTAATTCTCTACAGATAGACATATTGGGAAACTGAATAATTTGTCAAGGAATTTATAGTAGGTGAGTACTTTCACAGTAGCCACACACAGAACTGACCACAGTGAAAAATAAAGTGCCAACAAGTAATAATTAAGTTTAATTAGTGTTCTTTAACAATAACCAAGAATTTAAATATTGCAATTTGGAATAGTAAGCCTTCTATTAACATTAAGATATCATTCACAATTTAAAAGAGACAATCTGTAGCAAATTTAGAAAATAAAAATAAAATGTTTAAACATCAGAGAACATATAAAGTAATACATAAATTGGAAATAATCAAAAGTAACTATTTTTTATTAGGACATATGAGCAACACTTTAT